AAATACGTTTAATTGAATCCAAAACATCAGGAGTCACACCCACACCCACAACCATCTAGGCACTATTTCAGTGGCTGGTATCAGCGCCTGCTTCTTAGCCTCCCTTGCAGGAAAACAAGTCACTAACCCTAAATTCTCCCATGCCCTGTGCAAAAAAAAGGGACCCGCGTGTTAGGAAGTGATAACCTTATCGCCCTGCACCAGAACGCCTTCCCCCACCCTGGAGCAGCAAAGGACCTCTTAAATAAAGTATTCCTTCCCTTGGCTTCTGGGCTAAGACAAGAAAGGCAAAGGCAAACAAGACCTGTGGCCATCTAAAACCTACCAACTCGGATCTAGATCTAGTTTGGTAATAAACGCAAGAGTATGTGCGTATAGCGATTTGCTAGCACGCTAAAGATTTTGATTTGCTTTCCCTCAACTGGAAAGTACATAATCCACTTGCTCTGATATATTCTGTCACTCACCGTCATGGTGGGATAACAGGGTTTTAGCTGTCACTCGATAGAGAGGATGGGAAGGGACCCATGTTTATTACAGCGCCATAATGAAACTCTTTGGCCAAGCACAAGCGCTTTTAAGAAACAGTATTGGTGCCACTTTATTTTACTATGCTCTACAGCAGCCTTTTCCCAACTTAGCGCCCTCTAAAAATACAAGAATGCAACACCCACAGTCACTTGGGTAGTACAGGAATCTTGAGAAAATGGCCAGTCCTATATACACAAACACGCAGAAGGTGTTATGTGTATCAGAGAAGCAATAAAGATGAAACAAGGGATTGGGCGCCGTTCCCCTCAACCATGCTTCTTCTCAGTCCTGTAGAGACCCTGGGCCTGAACCCAACAGACCCACAGAGTCAATGACATCTACATAGCCGTTGACGTCTCAGTCGCTCATGGATGTCACAGGCATGCCAGCCTGTGGCAAGCCGCAGTGTTACACTATTCATCTGCCTGTGGGCTTAGTGCTGGGCGCAAGTAAGTTGAAAATAAGTTATGTTTAAAGGGGCTGGCTATCTTTCACGTGTAATTGTTGGTCGAGCACAGACGTATTTCTCCGGTTAGGACATCTGAAACCTGTCACGGTTTTCCCCACCTGATGTCCCTCTTTCCTCTCTTAAGGGAAGGGAACACATTGTATCACACAGCACAACCCTCAGACAAGATACTAAGACCAACAACACAAGGATATACAACAATGTCTTGGGCTGTTTTTCTTTATTCTTCCACAATATGGCCAGGAAACCTTCTGGGTGACCAATCTAAATGTTCTAGCTGTGAATTTCTACCATTCAACTGAAACCATCTTTGACTTCAGAAATCTATATACATTACTTTTTTAGAAACACACGAGACAGGTATTTATCTCGTCTTTTTGCTGGTTAAGAAGTACACATTGACATTAAGTTCGGTTTGAAGCCAAAAAAGAACTCTTTATCCTTTACAACCTGCCTGTTGAAAATAACCTCCTTCTGACCCTAAGACAGCTAAAAAGACTGGGTTTCCCACTAACTGTTTTCCCCAAATCTGGGGTGGGTGGGTTTCTGGCTAAATGGCAATCCACGAATGAAAAGCATGTCATTAAAGCAAAGCAATAAACCATGGACCTAGTTTATTCTCTTCCACTAGCTGTGCAGACAGATACGAGAGTTGCCTTTCGTGATGGCGTGGGCACCCATCTAAAAGACCTCCCCACAGGTTATTCAGAACAGCTGTTGGATGGAGGGAGAGTGGCTGCCGTTGATGCCCTTCTGTAGAAAACAGCTGCAAACACAAAGCCAACAAGGTTGGACAAGTCAAGAGCAAAACGGCCACCTTCGCTGAAACCATGTTCCTTTCAACAGGGATTCTGCATGGATTCTCCCACCCGCCCCTGCATGGGTCCTTCTGAAAATGTGAGGCTTTGATGCTCCTTTCCATCACCTTGCCTTCTGCTCAGCTCACAATTAAGCGCAGAGGGTCCTGCTAACCAGGGCACCTCGCACGGCCACCCGCAGCCACCGCCACAGCTGCTTTGATGAACGCCAACAAGGCAGGGAAGAATCAGTGATCAGTACAGCCTGCAGATCTTAATGGCTGGACCAACAGCTCTGGCAATAGCACCACCATACCGGCTGGGGGATTCTGGGACTTGTATTCCAAATAAAATATTGTTCCGACACTCTGGGGGTCACAACTAAGAAGTGCTCAGAAGTGTCCCAAATAATTGAATTTACACTCCAGTTAATGAGGCAGACCATAACTATTAAGAGGGAGAAAATGTAGATTTGTACATGCCAGTCCAGACCAGATAAGATATTGTAAAATCAGATACACAAAAATAATATTTTTATACCCAGTCTGTGAAAAAAAATGTTTGCACCACAGTGTTAGGCTGAACCAAAGAGGCCCCAGAGCTTCTGAAAAGCTAAGCTTCCTCCTGATCAGAGAAGAGCAACCTGGAAATAAGCAGATGGTCCTGAACAGACTTCTTGGCAGGCACAACTTTCCCACAAGTCCGAGAATGCTCTCCTTAGCACCAACAAGTCAGAACATGTCCCACTTTCATGATCTCTTGGCCGGTTTGGCCGTTAATTGCTTCTCTCTTTCCAGTTCTTTCTCCCGCTGCTGTTCCCGTTCAAGTTCTTCCTTCTGCCTCTTTTGCTGGAGTTTGAGGGCTCTTCTCTGAAAGAAGGATGTTTCAGGAAACAACGTTATCTTTTGCAGAAGCCAGAGAATAGCAACCTCAACATTGGGCTCTTCTTCTCCTAAAAGTCAACCAGCAACTTATTTATCCCCGCCACCGCCATCTTAATAGACCACACAGGACCTTCCTCCAAAACAGGAGCGCTCTTGTGGATGATTTTAGCAATCTAGTCATCAGACTCAAAATCAAAAGAGCCACTTCTCGCTTAGCATTCATGCCATCTCTAGGTCAGAGCAACGATATAGGCGGCAGAAAGGAAGTTCACCTTTAACTTTGATGTTTTCTCGTGCAGCAGCATCATCTCTTTCCTGACGTTTACCAACTTATTATAATAGTACTTCGCTTCTGAAAACTAAACAAAAACAAAAACAAAACAAATCAAGAATCAGAACACGGGAGACGCAGACCTTCTATTTTCAGGAATTTCCGAAACAAAGGAGCAACTCACAAAGAACTATTTGAACATACTGAAATGAGTGTAAAGCTGTAACTCTACATCCACCTAGTCAGCAGTAAAGTCCTGTTAGATCTTCACGAACTTTTTCCAAGTAACAGGTACATTGGCAGGTTGCAGAGTGACTGCCATGACACTACAGCTCCTTAAAGGGACACAAAATCCTCCTACCTAATTTTGGAACACTGCAGAGAACGAAGAACTGCTACAATAGTATTACATTTTTATTTGTCTATATTTCATTGTGTGAGAGAGCAGATTCAGGTATTTCACTGCAACCTTGAGGCCTAAATCCAACAGAATATGCTACTTCCAAATTCAGTAGACCCATTTCATAGCTGTACAACAAGTCAATCATTATGCAAGTCTCACTGATTCAATGGGTCTATTCCAACTGGGACTTAACAAGTCTGAAAAACAGTTTTTATTAGATACTAGTCTTTGCCACTTTTAATTTTTCCCCTCACTTACTTGACTTGTGCTTTTTATTTTAGATATCACCAAGGTAATCTGTTCTGGGGTGGCTATAACGTGGATGTATGAGTAAACACACTGAAAAGTAAACCTCAATATTTAGTGGGAAGTACTTCCAAATCAGCTGTGCACAGTTTATGAGTGATGATATTTCTTTCTGAGAAACTAAATGTTAGCAACAGAGTTAGTTTTGTTATCAGTCTCGTAGGGTTTCTCCCCACAAGCATAAATTCTGCACCAAGGACAAGCATCCATGGTTGTGTTTTTATAGAACTGGAAATTAAACCGTTTTATTAAACAAATAAGCCTGGAAGAAGGCACTTACCAGCACATTAATATCTAGAACAGAATTACATTCTTTAAATTTGGAGATTTCTTGCTGTAGAGTATCTAGCAGCACTTCTTGATTCTGTCTGAAATAATAATGTAATATTTTAAATCCATGTTGAAAATCAAATTATGTCTTGCAGCACAGACCGTGGCAAAATAATTAAGTTCTACAAAACCCAAATGCTTTCTGCTAGTGAAGTCACAACAGTTTTTACAAGTGTGTTAGTCAATTTCATAAGCAGGGCTGACCTTTATGTGAAAGAGAAGAACATACAGCACAATTTTGAATACTTAAAGAGTCACACTGAAGTGACTTAAGTCTGCCAGTCTTTCTTTGAAAGTTCAAATGAAAAGTAGACGCTTCACACAGAACTTGTACAAGGCGTAAAAAGACAAAAGGGCAGGCATGTCCTTTTAATGTTTACATACGTTAGCTCTTTCAAGGCTAATTTCGACCGCTGTAGATCAGGCAAATAATGAGAAACCAGCCCTTCTGTTAGTTGTTCCACAGCTTTCATGTCTACCACAGAAAGGTCTTCCACCAGTCCTTCATCAGGAGAATGATCACGAGAATCTGCAACAGACAGCAAAATTTATAACGTGATAAAGCAACAACCCTGATTTTTCAAGCAACAGCTATAAGGCACATTGGACATAGGACGCAAATTGCATTGTGATTGCCCGGCGCATTGTACACACTGGTGGTTTCCCTCAAGGCTGAATGCTTGTAGATGGAAGGACGACAACTGGGAAATCTGCTGTTACTCGACATTCAATCTAGGGGTGTTCAAAGAGGGAAACACATCATGCAACGAGGCAGGTTGCATGATGCTACCTCGCAGGGTTGTTGTTCGAAGGAAGAAACCCCCCCCCCGTAAGGGGGAGAAGCCTGAGCGGAGCCCTGGGCTCAAAGGGGGGGGGAGGAGAAGAAGAGGAAGAGGAGGCATTGGGGGGGGACTCCCCTCGTGGGAAGGCAACCCACCTAAGGGGGGGTCGCCCAAGGGCCGGGCCGGCAAAGCCGCCTCCCCTTCGTCCAGGTTCATCGTCGCCGCCGGAAAAGTTGCGCCCGAGAATCACACGCGCCCCTCCCGGGTCCCCCTCCCTGGGCCTCGGGGAAGGCGCCCGACCCTCCCTCTTGCCCTAGAAGGCAACCGCCTGCCTCCACCCCACCCCCACCCCCGCCCAGCGTCGGGAAGCCAGCAGGCCTTCCGGTCACGGCCCCCGGGCCAGAGCTCGGGACCGGAAGCGCCTCGACGACCATAGAGCTACGGCCACGAATAGAGGGAAGATAGTCGAGACGGGGCAGTCTACGGTCAAAGGGAAGGGGGGGCGAGGGAAAAGGCTCGGGCGGGCTCTCAGGAGCCTCGATTGGGCGAGACAGGCCCACGTGACCAGAAAATGAACGTCAACGAAGGGACTATAGAGCTACTGATTGATTGATGGGCGCCCAGCCTTTCATTCCAAAGGACGGGAAGGTTTCACGACTGCAGCGTCAAAGCCTGGCAGGGAGGCCGTTCTGTGCCTACAGAGACGTTACACACAGACACACACACACACACGTACGCAGCTGTCCACGAAGTCCAGGAAGAGTTTGCCTTTAACTCTAGAATAATTAAGGGGGAATTTCAGGAGGAGGCTCGGCCAGAGGTTCTAAACATGTCTGCTTGGACTACAGTTCCCAGAATCCCCAACCAGTACGGGGATTCTGGGAGCAGCCTTTCGGAAAGGGACGTTGACCCGCTTGGGGGTGGTTCCCTCCCTCCTTCCCTGCCCAGCTGCCTCTGCAGCTTAGCATGGGCTCTTCTGGTGCAGGATTGTGCCGTCGCCTTAGCAACGGCAGCAAAACACAAACACAGCCAAGGCCCCTTTTAAGGCAAGGCTCCCCAGAGCTGGCCGATGTTGGCAGGGCAGGGCTGTGCGTACTCCTTGGCAGGGCATTTTTGAGATTGGCCTCCTATGACCCTGAGGCCAAAGGCCTGGCACGTTTTTAGCTTTTCCTGGAATTTTGCTCCACATCGTTTGTGCTCAAAGGCTACAAGGCAGGGTTTGTTTTGAGCTCAGCTGCCCGTTTTCGTGTCGTGCGAGATAATGTGGCTGGAAGGGAGCAAGAAGATCTCTCTAACGTTATACAGTACTTTCTGAACTAAAAGATCTCTGCATTTAAAACAGCAGCAACAACAAATCCACAAGAACCACCCACTATAAACCACAGTGTTTACAAAATTAACAAGGACCTGATTGCAAAAACCTCTTTGACGTTCCTTAATTTGCATCTTCAAGCTGCTACTGGCATTTCGAAGGTAACCCATGGATTATTTTGCAAGAGTCTACGTGAAGGAAGCAGCTGCAGGAAGAAGGTCAGAAGAAGGAAGGCCAAGGAAGGCAAAAGATTATCTCGGTTACCACTCTGTGTGATAAGACAAAAACATGTTGTGTGGGTTCCTCGGCTTGGAATATAATCGCTACTGTTTCTGTGGCCTTGACAGCTGCCAGGGCAGGCAGGAAGCTTGTTTCGATCTTGCTGCCTCCTGTTTCAGGGGTTCAGTGAATCCACTCCATGTTTTAGCCTGCACTCTGCAGCAGGTATTCAAGCCGCTGAAGAGATTTTGAGGAGATGGTTCAAATAGGTCTTGACAGGTAAAGAGTGAAACCTGGAATGGATTTGCAACATGCCCAAAACTGAAGCCGTGAGCTAGCCACTGCTGAGGTCGCTGTATAGGCTGGTGCTATAGTGCCAATGGAGCAGCTGATTCTCTCCACCTCCCCTGGCGACCTTGGAGCAACCCAAAGACCAGCTCTGGGAGATTTTGAGGTGCAATGATGTTGGACATTGCCGAACTAGATACACTTCCAGAAGTGCTACGGGATCACATTCAATCTTTTATACTCAACAAAATGGACATGTCTCCTGTCAGGAGAGGCAACAAAATGGCAGCCCTTCCTGTCTGCTCAAGCAACAAAATGGCTCCACTTCCTGTATGCAGAGATAGCAAAATGGCTCCCCTTTCTTTCTTCTTAGGCAACAAAATGGTGCTTCTTTCAGTCTGCAGAAGCAATAAAATGACACTCCTGCCTGTCTCAATAGGCTACAAAATGACTTCCCTTTCATTGTTTATCAGGCAACAAAATGGATGCCTCTCTTGTCTGAACATGCTACAAAATGGCAGCCCTTCCTGTCTGCTCAAGCAACAAAATGGTACCACTTCCTGTATGCAGAGACAGCAAAATGGCTTCCCTTTTTGCAAAGGCAACAAAATGGCTCCCATCCTTTCTGCATAAGCAACAAAATAGCACCCCTTCCTCTCTTTACAGGCAATAAAAAGGGCCCCTTTTTGTCTGCACAGGCAACAAAATGGTTCCCATCCTTTCTGCATATGTAACAAAATGGTGTCCCTTGCTTTCTACACAGGCAACAAAATGGCTCCCCTTCATTTTTCATAGGCAACAAAATGGCGCCCCTTCCTGTCTGCACAGGTAACAAAATGGCTCCCATCCTTTCGGCACAGGAAACAAAATGGAGCCCCTTCATGTATGCAGAGATAGCAAAATGGCTCCTTTCATTTCCAAATGGTTCTCCTTAATTTCTACACAGAAAACAAAATGGCGGAACTTCCTTTTTGCACAGGCAATAAAATGGCGCAACTTCCTTTCTGCACACTTTTTTTCTGCTGAGCAAGCCAGATGAGTAGAATTGAACTTATGCAGCCCCCACTGAGCAGTTTAATTTCTTGTCCGTGAAATAAAAAAATCTTCCGACCTCTACTCCTCAAGAGAGGAAAACTGGAGAGGCCCACTTCTCTCGGCCGCAGTGGCGTTGACGTGGAGGGTACGGTTTCCCCTCTTTTGCTCAGAGCCTGGATCGCTCCAGCCTTCCACGACAACCTCCGATTTGGGAAAGGGATTTGTTTTGATGCGGCTTGCCAGGGAGATCAAAAGCCGCTGGCTTAAGAATTCGTACCGTTGTGTCAGCATTTTTTTTCTTGCCGAGTATTTGATTTTCCAATCCTCTTAGAAGAGCAATTCTCGTAAGAGCCAAAAGACTGCAGCAAAAATGTCCTGGTGTTGCTGTTTTTTCCTCCTTGCAAGAGAAAGCTGTAGCAACAGTGCACACACCGTGTGATTTTGGGGAGGGGGGGCGTTAGAAAGTGTGACAAAACTACCATCTGCGCTTTTTCCCAAGAGAAACTGGGAAGGAACTTGTTAACGGATGGGTTGAAAAGCTCAACGGAGCAGAATTTAAGGTCACTAGTGGACATCCGGGCAGTTTCAGCAGTTGGTGGCGGAAACTGTTAATTGGCAAATAATTTTACAACTTTAGAAAAACAGAGCAATTCATCTCCAAATCCCAGTTAGCGGGACTGGATCCACTGGGTCGGATGAAAGCACCCGGATCCTGCAAGTGGTCAGTCCTCATTCTGCCACAGAACTCCGTGAGAAGCCCTGGACCGAAGAAGACATGCACGGTGAGCCTACCTTACCAGGTCGCTGTGCGGCTGCATTGTTGGGAATTCTGTCATTGGGAACTGGGAATTTTGAGGAATAACAAAATGGAGCCATACAGTTGGTGTGCCCCAACGGACAGAAAGGAAGGATACAGTCAAGACAAACAAACCACCCTATATACAGTAAATAAACACCGCAAGGAAAACAACCACCATACACAATCTTGTGAGACCTTCAGGATCAGCCATTTAAAGATCAGATATTACTTTGTTTCTATATTTGTTAGAGTTGTGCTCCAGTAACCTGCATTTGGCATCTATCTATCTAGCAAATTGCAACTCTGGGCGGTGTACAGAGTAAAGTAAAGCAAACCATTCCTAAAAACTATAAAAACACATTTCAGAATACAAAGAACTGGGTGGGGGTGTTTTGCAACTACTCTGTTAATTTTATTCATTCATTCATTCATTCATTCATTCATTCATTCGATTTATATCCTGCCCATCTGGTATATTCTACCTCTCTGGGTAGATAAGCCAGGCATCTGTAAAAATGGGCAACAATTCTCCAGAGAGATGATGTTAAATAAAACCTGTTTCAGTTTATTAATCCTGGCACAGCGAATTTGCAAGGTCAGGCGTGAATTGGCCCTATTGGAAATTAACTGGAATCCATTTAATTTATTACTCAGTTATTGGAAATGAACTGAAATCCAGTTAATTTCCAATAGGACAATTCCTTGCTGTGCAAGGATTTACAGCAAGGAATCTTCCTATTGGAAATTATATATTTAAAAAGGAAGGACTGCAACGGGGAGGGTGGCAGGGACACAACGCCCGGTCTTTTGCTGCTTCCTCCTTTTTCTTGCACCGGACTGCTTGCCAGGTTCTCCCCCCCCAAGAGCTTCCCGGCTGCCTACAATTCCCAGCCTGCCCTGGGCGGCGGAGGAGGCCACGTGCGGGCTCGCTTAACCCCTTCGAAGCCGTCGCCGGCTTGAGCATCCCGGGCCGTTGCCGAGGCGGCAGACCCGGGCTTGGGGGAAAGCGCGCAGCCCGCGGCTCCACGGCTCCGCCCCGCGTGATCTGAGCCGGGGGGGAAGGCTGGCGTCGTGAGAATGCGGACAGGCAAGACTCGGGAGGAGCCGACCCGTGTCAGTAGTGAGCTTGCAGATAAATAAAAAAAAAGGACAGGAAATCAAGCCAGCCAGAGACCGAAAATGGTTGGGCAGAAAGGGGTGCTTGCGGGGGGAAGCCGACCCCAGGGCGCAGGCGCGCGGTGGGGCTGAGAAGCCGCGGCCAGACACCGCCGGAGCCCCGGCCGGCAGCTGGGTTGCCACCGCCGGGGAGCCGGCCATGGGGCGATCCCTGGGAGGCGCCACCCGGGGAGGAGGAGGAGGAGGAAGAAGAAGGAGAGCTGCAGCCGCTGCAGTTGCAGGAGGAGGAGGCGGCAGAGGAGGCGGCGGCTGCCTGAAGACCCATCCGGGGATGGCCCTTCTCCGGCGAGGCGCCCACGCCCTCCGGGGCCAACGCTAACCAACCCTCCCTGCCAACCTGGCTCTGCCCCACGGCGGGCATTCCTGGCCCCTCGTCCTCCCGGGCCGGGAGGCTTGGCCCCCGAAGGCAGCGGGGATTCCTGGGGCTGGCGGAGGGTCCCTAAAGGGGCTGCGTCTCCGGCCCCCCCAACGGCTTTCTGCGCGCAGGCACGCAGGTAGGGCGGCCCTTCCGACGTGCAAGGGAGAGGACACGCGTGCCGGACGGGCGGGCCGGGAGAGGCGCGGCGTCCTCGGCGGTAGGCGAGAGAGAGAGACAGGCGGAGGGCCGGCGGGGGAAGGGGAGCTCGTCTCCGGCAAGGACGCCAGCGGCCGCCCTGCGCGTGTTGGGCTTTGTTGCGTCTCGTGTGAATCGCCAGGAAGGGGGTCTCTCTCTTCCCCACCACCTCCCGCGCTGGGCGCGTCTGGATCCCAGCCGGGGCCGGGCAGAGGTGAGTTGGGAGGGAAGGGGATTCCCGGCTTTTTTTGGGGGGGGGGTTACAGGGGAAGCCTCGGGAAGAAGACCCCGGAGGGCGAGGGGGTCTCCCCACGACCACCACCCGGGGCTCGCCCTCCCCAAAGACTCCCGGCACTGGCGGAGAGGGGCTTAACCCAGCTGGGGGGCGCCGGCCGGGAGCGTTCAGGGGTTACGGAGGCGGAGGTGAGCAGAGCCAGCCTGGGGAGCCCTGGGCCGGCCTGGCCCGGTCCACGAACAAGCCCGGAAGACCGGGGGGACGGCCAACCGTTGCCATCCACGTGTTCTCTGCCTGGGGGGGGGGAAACCCCTGGAAAGGTTCGCCCCAAGTCGGGATTAGCAAATTGGGTAGCTCCGTGGTTTAGGTTCAGTTCCCCCCCCCCCCCCCGGTCTCTGTGCATGGTGGGACTCCCACCACCCAGCCTGGGTGGCCTTGGGCCAGCTGCACCGTCCTAGTACACACACACCCGGGAGAAGTAGGAAAGGGTTAGGCCACTTCTCAAGCTCCTCTCCTTGGAAAACCCTGGGAAGGGTCACCCTAAGGATGAATTGACTGGACTGCACAATGTTATTATTGTTGTTGTTAAACAAAACTGGCAGGTCCTCCCCCCAGGGGTCTCAAACATGTGGCCCGGGGGTCATTTGCAGCCCCCCAGATGATAGTTTGTGGCCCCCGCCTTGCCTGCCCCCCCAAAGCACCCACAAATCCTCTGCTGTCAAGAGTAAAAAAAAAGCCTTGCCTCGCTGGCCGGCTCTCTCCCAAGACAGCGCCTCTTGCACCCTCCATCCAGAACTGCCGCCTGCCAGGCAGCCCACCTGTCTGTCGGCTAAGGAAACTCCTGGGCGGCTTCCTCGGGCTCTTGCTCTGCTTGGCGGAGAATCGGATGCGGCCCAACCTCACCCAGACTCTGCCTCTAGCGGCCCACCAGGTAAACTGAGTTTAAAACCCCTGCCCTAGATGTTTATAGTAGTATCAGTGTTGGCAGAGAGAGAAGGAGAAGGAGATCAGCCGGAGGTGTCCGTGAGGACAGGTGGTTCCACCTCCTTAGACTTTGTACCCCACGGGGGAGCCGGGCAGATGCGTTTCCGGGTTGCCAGAGAGCCGGCCGGAGCGTGAGCCCGTCTTTGCTTCACCTTCACAGCCTCCTGTTTGCTTTCCTTGCAGCTTTCATCCCTCCGGTGGCTATGACTCGCTGGGGCCCGTCTGGCCCTTCTGGAAAGAGAGATGACCCAAGCGAATAGGAGAGCGGAGCCGTCGGGCCGGCCGGGGTGGGTGGCGCCCTTGCCCCCAAGGATGGCTCGCTCGGGCATCTGGAAGAGCCTCCAGTCCGTGCTGCGGAAGAAGGACGATCCCTTGTTCCTGAACGACTGCAGTGCCTTCGATTTTTCCGACGAGGTGGGCGAGGAGGACTTCCCCAGGTTCAACAAGCTGCGCGTGGTGGTCGCGGAGGATGCGGCCGAGACGCCCGCCAACGGGGCGCACGTGGGGCCCCATTCCGACGACGAGTCCTTGCTGGACCGAGACGCGGCGCCGCGGAGCGCCCAGGCCAGAACAGGGACGGATCCGTGCCGCGGCTGCAGCCAGCAACGGGAGCGGTTGAAGCAAAGGAGGGTGAAGCGGAGGCTGGTCCTGGCGGCGGTTCTCTACCTCCTCTTCATGACCGGGGAGCTTGTAGGTAAGGGAGCCTCTAAGGGGGGGGACTCTCCCTCGCCTCCTCCCTCTGTTCTCCGGGGGGGGGAGAATAGGAGGCTTTTGAAGTGGCCACAGAAGGACCCCCTCCATCTGGACTTTTAGCCCTTTTCACAACTGGTTCTAGGACGTGACACACAGGCTAGGAAGACGGTGGTATTCGCCAGCGCACAGAGGCGACCGGTTCTGATAGCATCCCGAGTAAGCAATAAGTGGGTTGCAGAAAGAGATTTCCTGCTCAACTGCAAAATAACATGGTCTCTCATTTCTGAAGAAACACCCAGACTGGGAGATTTTGTTACCCCTTTCTCATACTTTCAGGCACCTTTTGGAGGCAGAGAGAGAGAGAGAGAGAGGATGCCTAAATCAATCTCTCTCTTTCTCTCTCAGGCAGCCCATTTAAAAGAAACATTTCCCGCTGATCTTTATGGGAATTTACCTGTATTGTACCTTTTGTCGCATGGAAGTTGGAGTAGGTGACAGACAATGTTCCTTCGGGCCAACTGGCTTTCCGAAAAGTCAAGAGTTGCCTTTTCTTCAGACCGAACCGTGCCCATTGATTATATTTTTAGCTCAGGTTCTTCTTTCAAAAGCCACCCGGTGGCGCGTGTGAAAAAAAATTGGAACGGTTCCCCTTAATAGCTCGTTCTTACACCAAACGGCCCACAGCCATCAGCTGGCTATGTGAGAACTAGAAACGATTTTAAGTGTCACAAGGCTGGACTGTATAACCCTGGTGTATATCCTGTTTATCATATGCGCAAATATAATCTCATATTTCTTGTTCCTCCAAAGGTTGGAACACGGTCAAAACATGTTGGCCACGATGTGGCATCCAAATCTACTTAAGTCCCATTTATACTTGTGGGGCTTAAAAAACATGCATAACCACCTAAAGGCCGACAGCCCCCATTTTGAGCAGAGAGTCCTGGCCCAAAAAACAAACAAACACAAAAAATTGTGTTGAGATTTTTTTTTCCTGCAGGGTCCCATCTGAGTGGTGGTTAGCCTGATGAGGACCTATGCAAGTTGGAAAGCTAGCATATAACTGTGATTTTTTTTAAAAAAAGTTTTTAAATAAATGCCATCATCCACCTTTGGCTCAAGGAAGTCAGGGGTTTCAAAAGCCTCCTGCAGTTGGTGGCTGAACGATCAGGCTGCTGATAAGACCGATGGTCCACCTCTGGAAGATCATTTCTTCCGTGTTGCTGGTGAAGAGGTTTGTAATCATGGAGCCGGAGGCGGCCCCTCCGTCTTTCATGGTTCACTGAAGACAGCAATGAGACATCCAGCTCGTTATGGGCCGGAGGAGGAGGTTAACGGACCTGTTTGAAGTCTCATCTCTCTCCTTCAAAGGAACAGCAGGAGGCTTTTTAAAACAACAAAAGGAGAAGCATGTGAACCTGGCAGTTCTGCAAAACCTAGATTAAAGCCCTGAGGAGGATGTGGAACAGGGTTGTGTAGGGGTGTCGCTGTGGTGAGCTCTGCCTTCCTTCGCTCACCCGGTTTTAAAAAACAAGACGAGACAAAAACTTTTTAAGACAACCACTCCCGGAACAGCTCACACAACGTGGGGCATTTAGGGAGTTGTCATCTAAAACAACAACTGTTTTAATTTGCGGCTTCTTTTGCCACCCTCTTTTCTGCCTACTCTCTTTTATAGTTCTCTCTTTTTCTGCCCCGCCACTTCATTGCAAGAACAGGATAGATCCGTGGGAACCGCCCGCCCCATGAGATTACTTTTGTGCATTCGCTGTAGTTTATGAGGAAAAAGGGAGAGGAAAAAAAGATAAAAACAAAACCCTGTCTTGTTCCAGGGTGTGATGCTTTAAGAGCCAACCTGGTTCGTTGTGTTTAGTCTAGAGAAGTTGTGTGAGGCACGTGTGGGCCCTGAGGCTGCTTTTGAGGGTCCTGGCCCATCAGACGCCCTCTTCCCCTTTCAGGGGGCAAAAAAAAATATGGACACTTGAGGCCAGACTCCTCCTAAATGAGTCACAAGACCCTCCCCCCCACCATTTAGAGTTATAAAATCAAAATATTTTGAATATGTTTCCTTTCTGTTTTCCTTTTTTCCTCCACTCCCATATGACCTTTGTGCTCCCCATAGACTGTTTGGGGCAGAAGACTTTTACTTGAACCTGCGGATGTTGGCTGAGGCCGTTTAAATTATTGGAGGTGTGGAGTTCAGGGCGGGAGGCAGTTAAGAACACCAGCCAATTCCACCGACTTTCTCTCCCCTGCTCTCTGAGAAGCGTCCCTAAAGAGGTTGTCGCAAAAGATAAACTGGATCCGTGCTCTTTTTCCACTCTCTCTTCCCCGCAAATAGTCTGCGGCTGAAATAACTTATTAAAACACGAGACGAATCCTGTCAGGCCTGGCTTGCTTGGGAGAAAGTTTCCGAGCTGAGACATCGCCGCTTTGTGCTAACTTTGTATGCGCTTGGTGTACCTTGCAATTACACCACGACTGACTGAGGGTAGAGCCGTGATTCAGCCTTCGTTAGATAAGAATGGTAATTGGCAGAGATTCTCTGGCAAGGACGGGACATCCTCAAATAAAGGCTTAAAAGGGATTGTGAAGTACAGCCTCTCCCAGCTTGGCGTCTCCCAGACGTTGGAGACTACAGCTCCCATCAGACCCAGATCGTCTCTATGCTGATGAAGCAGAACAACGAAAGGCCAAAACGCTTCTGCAGGGCCCTCCTGTTAACGAAGCATGTTTTAAGGTCATATCTTTACACATTTGTAAACGTCGTGTTGCCCTGATCCGTGCTGGGTGTGCAGTTGCAGCCAAACACATCCTGCAGCTTCAGCTTCTAGCCAGGATGATTAAAAAAAACAAAACAACTTCTGTGTTTCTTCCCCTTGTTTGGCATCCTGAATGATATTTGCAATATCTCGCCTGATGAAGAGACCTGCAGGACTCAAAAGTTTGCTTGTTGGTGGTGGTTTGGTTGGTTCCAGAAGAGATTTTGCATACGGACTACATAGCTGTGTTTCTCTTGGTTGTAACCTGCCTCTGAGTAACGTGCAGGAAATTCTTTAGCATCAAATGGCTAATATTTATCCCTTTTTGTAAAACTTTCATGTTCAGGTGGATACGTCGCCAATAGTCTAGCCATCATGACGGATGCACTGCATATGTTAACAGACCTCAGCGGCATTATTTTGACCCTGCTCGCTTTGTGGCTGTCTGCAAAGTCACCCACCAAAAAGTTCACTTTTGGATTCCATCGCCTGGGTAGGTGATCTGGTTTGTTTGTTTAACAATAGCCTGCGCCAATTGACAAACCACAATGTGGTTTCTTGAAATCTAGCTTACGGTGCTCTCTGAACCCATCTCTTGTAACAAAGTATGGTTTGTTAAGTAGCCACAAGCCACCATCTGAAGCTATTATGGTTTGTTGTTTTCTTATGAACTTTGGCTTGTTCAAACCATGGCTTGTTGTGAGAGTGAAACCCTCAACTGTGGCTTGTCCTTGGTTTGTTTCCTCCGCTCCTTATCTTGAAACAGGAACTATCCAAAAACTTAGGAAGGAAACAAAACAGAAATGGGGAAGATAAGGGACCATTTCCTTTTTTCGATTGCTGTGCAGTTTGTGGCTTAATATGGGCTTATTGTGAAGTTAAAATGGGCCTTATGACACAGGTCAGTAAATAAAGGGTAGATCAGTGCGAGTGTTAAGCCTCCATCCTCGGGATGGGCGAAGAGCCGCTCTCTAGATGTTGCTGGAATAGCAACTCCCGAAATTCTGCTCCATCTGCCATGCTGGCGAAGGATGATGAGAGAATCAGTCCAACGACTTCTGTGGGGGCCGCACTTTGTCCACCTCCGCTCTGAAAGGTGCAGCTTACTACGACAGAGGCTGGCAGTGAATGAACATGCTGTTCTGTACGCTTGGAACAAAAAACAGTTTTGGATGTTGAGAGCAGAGATGTGACATTCTTATCTGCTTCTTGTACTCAGGATTTCTGCTTCTGAAAAGACCAGTTTGGGAAATGTTGCAGAAGCCAGATGATAGATAGGATTAAAAATTCTCCTTGATTCATTGGGTGACCTTGGCTAGCCTCTTAGATTGACTCCCCTTATCTCACAGCATTGTTAGGAAGATTAAAATGAGTGTGTGTGGGGGGCCCCCAGAGAATTACTTCTACCACTTCTATGATAATAATAACACGTCAATGCCTTTCATTTTGGAGGAGTTGATAGGCATATGATTATGTACTCATTTCTGGATGAGTTGATGTGGCCTTAGCAACCATCCTGGTCTTGAAGGCACCCAATCTTGGCAGATTTTAGAAGCTAAGCTGGTTGGGCTTGTTTGAATAACTAACTGGACAGGAGACCCACCAAAGATCTCCAGAGAGCAAACGGAAAGAAGGTTTCATGAAACTGCGGACCAAGCGGGCATTACTGGGCCCAATGGAACAGGGGTTTGACTTAAATATATAGGTTCCCTTTGTTCTCGTAAACTGGAGGTGAACTTTTTGCTCCTGCGAAAAATTGCCAAGAAAATATGGATGGCTTTTTCTCGAGACCATTCTGATTTTAAAAATAAATACACTTTTTTTTGCAATTAAAAATGCCTTATCTCACTCTGTTCCTTCATGTACCTCTGCCAGGTTGGTCTCTCAGCTCATTATTCCAACTGTGTTGTTCATATGACTTTTTTTTAGAGCTATGATTAGATTTTTTTTTTTTTGGCAACGTATTTCATGGTTTTTTTTTAAGTCTCAACAGTGCTGCCTAATAACTCTAAACACTGGGGTGTATTTAAATACCTTTTGAAGGCCATTCTTGGCCCGGGTGGGTTGTATTTCAGTCCTAAGGACTCTCATTCCACAAAATTAAAATCTCTTGAAAGAAAAGTTTCATGGCTGCCAAATTCTTTTATTGTTTGAGCTCCGAGGAGATTTGCTGCCGTACAGTACAGTACAGTATGGCTTTAATAATGAGTTCAGGGGGGGGGTGATGTAGCAGAGCGGGTGAGAAAAGAAAATATCTCTGTCGAGGAACACAAAACCTGGCAGACTAAATTATGAAATTTAACCAGATTCCTGGATGGAGTAAATGGAGATTTTGGACACCGTTCTCCTCCTTACTCGTCTTCCAGCTTTTCCTGTTCTCTACCTTCCTAAAGTTAGCCTCATGGTGCCTGTACATTTTGTATTTTTATAGGTCGACAAAGCCAGCCTACCTGTGTTTTCACAGAAATAAACCCTTTTGTATTCAATGGGGCTTCCTTACAGGAAAATTGGCTGGTCATTGTGGAGCCCTCCAGAGAAATCCTATAGTTATTGCATTCAATGGGTCTCACTCCTGGTTCAACATGGGCAGGAGTCCACTTTTGATGTTGCTCTGTTTTTATGGGGTTTTTTTGGGTGTGTGTGTGTGTGAAGGATCAAAGGAAAAAGTAACTTCTGAAATGATGGCTGGAATCTTAATTCGCCTTCACATAAAGTTTATGTCACTTGTTGTGGTTAATTGTCGCTAATTGATGAAGGGCTGGGATGTGTCTTGGCTGCCTCATCAGGTGTGTAACTAGATCTACCCCACTATGTTGTCCATTCTCAGACGCTCTAGCCAGGGGTGAGGAATGCTGGGAAACGGGGCCCATCAAGAAGAGGGGCCTGATTCGTCTGCCTTCCTGCAGTAAACAGAACAGGTCACCACCATCAGGCCAAGTCATGCTGGACAATTATGTAGAGATGCTTATAGGCTTTCTGAATGGCACTTCCTATTTCCCATTCTTCTTCTTCTTCTTCTTCTTCGGACAATTATGTAGAGATGCTTATAGACTTTCTGAATGGCACTTCCTATTTCTCATTCTTCTTCTTCTTTCCCAGAGGTTTTATCTGCCATGTTCAGCGTGCTGCTGATTTATATCCTTATGGTCTTCCTCTTGTACGAAGCCGTTCAAAGAACGATCCATATGGACTACGAGATAAACGGGGACATCATGCTAATTACAGCGGCTGTCGGTGTGGCAGTGAACCTCATGTGAGCTTGTTTTTCAGTTGTGTGCAAAATGCACACAAGTCGGCTGCATGCCAGCCTGGCCATCTTGGGGAGGGGGGGGGATTGGCTTGCATTTTGCACAGGGGTGTGAGTGGCGTGGGTGGATTGGGCCTTCCTCTCCTTGATTCATTTTCCAACTGCCCTGGCCTCCCAAACCAACTTCGGACAGACTGTGATCATGTCCATGAATGGGCGACCCATCAGTCGATCTAGTTACCAAAACTATTTGTTTACCTACTGTTTTTAGTTTTAAACATTGTATTTGGATGATGTGAGCCACTTTCTTTAGGAGAAAGGCAGGGTAAAACTATAGTAGATAAATAAAATAAACAAACAAACCTGGCAACTGGTAGGGGTGAGCACGTTCTTCAGTCTTTGTGTTAATAACAGGAATCAGCTCTGATAATACAGGTTCTTCTCTTTTCTCTGTATCTCTCTTTGCGCCGTTCTGCTCTCTTGTAATTTCTGGTCTTCTGCTCTCCCTTTCAGAATGGGCTTTCTGTTGAATCAGTCAGGCCACCTTCACTCCCATTCCCACGCTCCTTCATCTGTTCCTCCGCCAAATCCTTCATCTCCAGCTTCTGGCCACGGCCACGGCCACGTCAGCCTGGCTGTGCGAGCGGCGTTTGTACACGCCCTGGGAGACTTAGTTCAAAGTATTGGTGTCCTTGTGGCTGCCTACATCATCCGGTTCAAGGTAGGAGGTTTCCGCCAATTGGTGAACGGATCGTGGACAACTCAGCCTTTGCATGCTCTAATGTCCTCTTGGCTCCGGTAGACTTACATCCATCTGGTCCAGGGCTTCAGATGCCCTCAAGCCCTCCATCATCGTTTTTTTGGGTGCTAAACCCGGCTGCTGTGCATGCACCACGTTTGATTCATTTGAAAGGAAAAACCTTCCAAATGTTTGAAAGAAAAATCTTTATTAAGGTTCTTTCCTCAATGCAGTCTAACCAGTCTCATGTCTTTGGTTTCAGCCAGAATATAAGATTGCTGACCCTATATGCACCTATGTATTCTCAGTTCTTGTGGCTTTCACAACATTTCGGATCATACGGGACACCGGTATAATTGTACTTGAAGGTAACGATTATTCATATCCTTACAATATGAGGTTATAACTTCTAAGTCAACAGAAGACATAATTACTGTATTGTTTCTTTGATTATGTAAGGCAGTGCTTCCCAGCCTTGGGTCCCCAGATTGTTCTCAGGACTACAACTCCCAGAAATCCTGGCCAGCCCAGCGAGTGGTGAAGGCTTCTGGGAGTTTTAGTCCAAGCACATCTGGAGACCCATTGATGTAAGTTCTTCAAATGTTGACCAGTAAGATTTGATAGGTTTCCACTTCAAATGTGGTACCTTCTCTTGAGGAAATTCCCAAGGAGATAGCTGAGCTAGTCTGTGTTGGAAGAAGTGGGCTACAGTTCATAAAAGTGTATGCCTAATAAAACATAGTCTTTAAGTTGCTACGAGGCCTTTCTGTTGTTAACGGCTCTAAAACAGTAATTAAAGATGGTTTGCAGCAGCATTGTCTTTTGGCAGATGGGGACCAGTGTGGAAAGCCTTCTTTGAAGACCCAAAGTTTGGGAAACACATGTATTTAATTGTTTATACCTTGCCTTGCCGGCAAATTCCCTGGCAGTGGCTAAAATGCCCGGCATCGTTGCTCTGAATTGCTTATATTAGCTCAAGCGACGCAAGACATTTGCCAGTTAGCGGACACGGCCTGAGATGAAACTGATTAGCCTTCGGACAAGGTTAGATGACAGCATTTTGTCTTAAAAGTGTAGACACTGTGCGAATAAACGACTGTCACATTGATAACCTTTTATAATCCAGTTAGTATAATTATTTCACGCCAGCCTTGCTTTTTTCTTGTAGGGGCTCCAAGGCATTTGAATGTGGATCACATTAAGGAAGAGTTATTGAAAATTGAAGATGTGTTTTCTGTGGAAAACCTGAATGTCTGGTCATTAACTTCGGGGAAAACGATGGTCATCGTCCACTTGCAACTAGGTAAAAAAATGGATATGGAGTAGGTGAAGCCGGTCCCTGCAGTTAGTAGATGTTCCTTTTAGTCTTATATCTAAAGAGCCTTCTAGGTTTCGGACCTACACAAATCAGAAGAAAAGACCCAAATTTACCATCTATTATCTGTTGGGGAAAGGACAGGAAAATAGATAAATAAGGGAGAAGGGAATAGCGTATTCTTGGATAGTGGACCCGAGGAGGTGTCTTCCAGAGTGGTGGATATGGAGTAGGTGAACCGGGTCCCTGCAGTCAGATATTCCTTTTAGTCTTATATCTAAAGAGCCTTCTAGGTTTCGGACCTACACAAATCAGAAGAAAAGACCCAAATTTACCATCTATTATCTGTTGGGGAAAGGACAGGAAAATAGATAAATAAGGGAGAAGGGAATAGCGTATTCTTGGATAGTGGACCCGAGGAGGTGTCTTCCAGAGTGGTCCATGGCTGTGGGATTCTGGGAATTGTAGTCCAGGAGAAAGAGGAGGAGAAGAAGAAAATGTTTCAAAGCTCGGAGGAAAGCAGTGTGACCTTCAGGCAGTTCATGCTTCTTTTGGGCAACAACAGGAATCTCACAGTCCTTTCTTAGTTACCTTTTAGAAATAACTAATCTTTAGTATTTTTAGTTATTTATATGGCGATATCCTTTATAGAGAGCAGGGGGAAATTATGCATATACAGTAGGATCATGGTATCTGCAAGAAATTGATTCCAACGGTCCCCGCCCTCGTGGATGCTGAAAACCGCAGATACAATAAACTCTCTCTGTAGCATATAGAGAAAGTTTAATATATCTCTGTGTAATCTCTGGTTCCCTCTAGTGGCCAGTTCTAGAAATACACATTAGAAACATATTTCTGGGCTTTTTGATTTAATATTTTCAGGGAGTGGATAAGTTAAGCTGCAGATACTGATCCCGCAGATACGGTGGTCCTACTGTAATTTGCAGATTGGATGGAGACGCCTTCGCCATCTTTGCATGTTTGCTCTTAAGGGGACATTTAATGGTTTTGTTGGGGTTTTTTTCCCCAAATAATTTTCTTGCTTTTCAGCTCCCGGGAGTTCTACCAAGTGGGAAGATGTACAGTCCAAGACCCGGCGGTTGCTGCTGAACACGTTTGGAGTTTATCAGTGTTCCGTCCAACTTCAGAGTTACTGGCGAGAAGACGACAAACCTTGTGCAAACTGTCAGGGTTCCAGTGCCTAATTTTCCACAATTTTTTTGTGTGGGGGGAGGGGACTTTGCTGCCTTATTCTCTCCTTTTTTAAAAAAAAAGAAAAAGGAACTTGCAGCCAAAAGACCACTAAGCAATACATGCCTGATTTACAAATGGAACAGAATCCCTTTTAGATCTGGATGTGGATCGGCGCTCAGCACGGCAAGAAGGACTTGGGACAGGCAAACCGATGAACCCGGGATTCCTCCCTTCCGCAGCGACGACTTCTCGCTTTCCCTCTCTCGCTCGTGGTTTCGTTGAGGGTTTCCTCGCCCGTTTCTTTCCTCTTAAGTGGTTTACACATTCGTCGGGCAGGTACTTCGTAGCAGAAATGTCCGCCGTTTTGGGTGACTTGTGTTGCGGTACTTCTCCCGCGCTTCGCCAAGGGTCGTCAAGAAGAAGCAACGAGCTGCGTCGGAAGAGATTTGACTAGATTGATCATGTCCGTGATCTACGAAGTTAATGATTTCTGAGCTGAGCTGGTTGCACAGTATTTTTGCACACCCACGCAGAGCCCTGCAGCCAGCTTTTTAATACCTTGTCTAAAACAATGGTGCTGGGGTGGCAGGGACCCTTTTTAAAAGCTGTCCCTTCGTACAAACTCAAACACATACTGGGAAATATGAATTTAGTTTTTACTTACATTCCAAGCGATAACCGTTTTTCTCCCAGAACCAATGACCAGTTGTTTAACCTAAGATGATGGGGCTGGGCCCGTTATGTTTCCACGGACTGATACTTATTTTTTTGTGTCTTTTGGCCTAGGCTTGTGTTGTAGAAAAAGCCTATTTAATTTCTCCAAATGTGTACGGTTGACTTTTGAGAGGATACTTTTCTTACCGACTGCCTTGAATATTTAAAGCAATGTTTTAACCTGCTTCAAGAGAGACCCTTGGGGGGTAGCACGATTCTTACGCCCAGTAATATAAAAATGCCATGGGATCCCCCTCTTGAATGATTTTGGCCTCAAGGAAAGAGAGGGTAATTTCGTAAAAAATAGTAAACGCAAATATCAAATCAGTAAACTCTGAACTTTAGATGTCTTGGAAGTAAGCGAACCCAGACTTCAGATGTGCTGCGGTCCCAAACCGTAGAACGGTGAGAGAATCTGGTCTCGGTGCCTCCTTTGCGTATCCGATAAATGTATGGTTTCTGCATGAAGATGTGCGCCAGTGTGCCAGTGAAATGTGAGTTATTTGGTGAACTGCGTTGCCTTTCATTCAAAACAGGGAAGGCTCTTTTTATTTTCCCTTTTCTTAGCAAATCTAAAACGAACCTTCCTTTCTGACCTGTGCTGACTTGTAGGCCTTAATTGACTGCATGGAGGCCCCCAATTATCATTATGGCTCTTCTTGACATTCTGAACACGAAGAAGGGAAAAAACCTGGGGGAAAAGCCCACCGGAAGACAGAAATGCTGCTTTCAGACCAGTCCAGAACCAGACTGGGGATAGGTTAAGGATGCCAAAAACACAATTCGTACACCACATGTACCAGGACATGGCGGCAGTGTCTGGACCCCTGTCCCACTCTGATTGTTCTAAAGAGGATTCCCGTTTACATGAATAACATTCTGGGAAAGTAGCATCCTTTTCTTTTTAAGCTAAGCCCCCAACTTTGGTCTCTGGCTATGAAACGGTAGGCAATCCACTTTTTAAACATAGCTGGTAAGCTTGTATTTTCTTCTGGAATGTTTGGGTTAGGGCTTTAAAAAAAGCCCCAAGGGGTAGTTCAGCTTGATTACAAAAGACAACAGAAAGGGGTCTTGTTGTTACCAGTCGCCAGCATATTTAGATGGATTTAGATTATTAATACGTACATAGTTGGAATAAATCATTCACCGTGTCCTTCACGGAGTCATTTTCACAATGGTTTTTTAAGGTTCAGTATTTGTCTTCTGATGAAGAGTGATTAAAAACAAACAACTCATCTTTATTTTCCATGAAAGCGATTCAGGCATTATTAGTTTAGAAAATAATATTAACAAATCATTCTAATATTTCCTGCTAAAATATTGTGATTTTTTCATTTTATGCAGTGAAGATGAAAGTTTCACAAAACAGGTTGGGAGTTCGTACCTTGATTAAACTCTTCCGGGAGAGGGGTGTCTCCAGGTTGGATTTCTGATCTCTCTTGTGTCATGGGGAACCAGCTGTCCACCACTGACTCCACTCCAAGACAAAAATTTCAGTATTAGTTAGAGCAAAGTGCACTATATAAAGTTGTTTTGCTTCCAAAAAACAGAATGGAACTCCTGCCATACAGTATACGCTTGCGTTTCCTGCCCAGAGACAAGGAGGTAGTCCCTTTGGAAATGGTGGTGTTTTGTCGCACTACAATATAAACACAAAGCCATATCACAAGTTTGTGACAAATTTGCATCCCTCTTCTGTTTGACCTCTCTGGAAGTAAGGTATTTTTTTTGCACACAATGGATATTCATAATGGGTATTTCATTAAGTAGGAGTTTACAGTATACATCCTTAGACGTTTGGGTTTTTGGTAGATCTGTACTCGGAGTTTTTAAAAATTGTAACGATATCCTATATATTTGTTTAATGAAACCAAGGTCTTGCTTTCTTTGTGGATTTATTAAATCGTTTATTAAACTGACCACCTATACGTCCCGCCTACTCTTGTGCCTTTTAAAAAAATTGTATTTTGAGATATTTTTTTCTTACACAAAGAAAATTTTTCTTATACAAAGAATTTGTAGAAAAAATTTTCTTATACAAAGAAAAATGACCTGTGACATCCCAAGAGTCTCTAATAGTGTCTGGATTTTGGCTCAGAAATCTCAGAGAAAGTCAGATACTAATACTGACCCACTGGCTGCACAAGATTGCAGGTTGGGAAGGGGGGCACAATGCTGTAGAAATACAAACACTCAAAAGGCTGATCGGAATATTTTTTTTTCTTAAAAACAAACAAGGTTTACCCCTTCCTGTACAATTTTCACCGCAGAAAGCTTTTCCTTTTCAAAATGACTTCTTTTTGTCCTCTGGGGTAGTATTGTTTCAAAATTAAGTACCAGTTTTTTTTCCTCCCCTCAGCTGCACAGAAGTAGAATCTACTTTGTCCGGAGGTATCCATAGGCTACCCAAACCATTAGTGGAGATGGGCAGGCAAGGTTATTTTCCTTTTCAAAGAGCTTTTGAAAGGAAAAGGACAAACACAGCCATTAAATAATGGCTCTGGTGAGTGCTTTCAAAGGAGATGCTTCAGAAGTCCTTTGAAGTTGGCCGAAGGAGGCCAGAATGGACCCATCTGACATCAGGAGAACATACCGCGTTTTTTTTCCTAGAAAAAAAAATCCTAGTACTGACAACCACAGCAACCAAAGGTCAAAGCAAAAAAAAAAAAAACAAAAAAACAGCCAATTTCTTGTCTGAGACCAATCTGCAGGTCTCTACTTTCTGTTTAAAAAAAAAAAAGGTTTCCTGGGAGGGAAACTTCATCTTAACAGGATCCTGGAGAACTGAACTGAAAGTTCAGTTGAGCGTCCAAACTTTAAATGTAGATGACAAGTTTATTAAAAAAATATATGCTTCTGTTATCAGTCGAGACAAAAGTAATTTAATTCTTCTAAGGTTCACAACTGAACAGAGATGGGTACAGTATATATCTTCAAAAAGCTCTTCATTTTTGGGCACGTGCGGGAGAAATTTTTCAAGCACACCTTAACATCTTTAGCCAAACAGCTTGTGGGGGGACCCTAAGAATAGAGCAGAAGCATTTCCGCACACCGGTTTAGATAATCTGGCTTGTGCAGAAGTGATTCCACCAGATTCGTAGTCTGCTATTAGTCATCCTCACTTCTGCATTTTTTAAAACTTCTGCCACCTCTTCCGTGGGCTCCCTTGCTTGGCTGGTTATAATCAGCTACCAGATATTTTGTTTAGAGAACACAAAGGGGACATAAAAGTCAAGAATGAAGAAAGTAAAACCGGACTACTGTCTACTAACAATTCTCCCTTACATATGGGGTTATGTTGTACATTTATGATTACCGTTAGCAAGAGACACAGATGAGTTGCATTAGGCCACCTTTTCTAATAACTCTAGACCCTTCTAATGAGAAATTGCAAGGTTCAAGTGGAGAATTTCGGCTGAGTTTTGTCCTAACATTGAAAAGCAGGCGGCTGGGCAGCTCTTTGTTTATAAACTGCACGTCCCCTTGTTTATGTGTGAACAGAGAAAGATCTTACAAATCTCAGAACATGTTGCAACTATTATTCATTTACATTCATTTATTATTTAACTACAAAACGTGGTTTCTGGAGGGAACAGTTTAAATGCATGAGAAAGGAGACGTGATAAAAACGTATTGACAGGATTTAGCTGATACCAATGCAACACGACTGTTTTTTAACAATCCAAGCCAGCCCACTTGGTCTACCTGGCATCAGTGTAACACACAAACAACCCCACAAACCAAAACATTCTTTTCCCCCTCTGGATTGGTCTTTGGAAGCATCCCATCCTCGTTCTGGCAACCGGCAGACTTGGGAAGAAAGCAAAAATGCAAACAAACTACAGATGGAAGAATGAGCATCTTTGAGCCTCATTGCAGGCAACAGCTGGTGCAAAGGGGCCCTTGCACCCGGGACCAGGATTGCACCCTGTGTAACTGGTAAACTATGTATGAATTAAAAGCACAGTGTCGGGATCTGGCCCACACCACTCTGGTAGCTGCAGGATCGGGGCCAGGCTGACCCAGGAATGGCGTGGTGTTTGCAGGCTCAGGCCCTGGCCGGTGTAGCAGCTGCTGGGCCACTCATGAGGCTCACCTGGAAACCTGGAGGGAAGGCCTATTTAAGGGGTGCTTCTCCCTCCCAGAACTTCTCTCAGCAACAAAGGTCTTTGGTCCTGCTGTGCCTTGCTGCTCCTGAGCTCCAGAGTCCCTGCATTCCAGTGTTCCTGCCCCTGCTCCTGCCTCCATCATCTCTGCATCTGGACTTGTGTTCCTGCCCCTGGTCCTGCCCCTGCTGGTCTCCTGCATCTTGGTGCCTTGTTCTGGCTCCCAGCCCGGTGCTCCCACCTCTGTTTGGTCACGGCCAGCTGCGCAGTGAGCGCCTTTGGACTTGGCGAGAAGCTGGCCCGGGTATCTTGGGACTGCGACACACAGGTACCGGGCAACTTTTATTGAATATTATAATAGAAATAATCTCTGTTCATTTACAAAAATATTTTGCTTCATTATGAGAAAACAAAACAAATAGTAAAAAAACATAAATTGACTGTCTATGTTTCTGAAGATTTCTGGGGACACCGGAGAGGGCCTTTTCTGTGGTTGCTCCCAGTCTTTGGAACTCCCTCCCACTAGAGACCAAACTAGCCCCCTCTTGGCTGTCCTTCTGCAAGCAGGCTGAGACCTTTCTCTTCAGGCAGGCTTTCTCCGAGTGACTGGCTGCCCAAGTATGGTTTTTTTAATGGATGGGCATGGCTTGCTGCTTTAAATGTGTTTCCAGTGTTGCTTTTTTTACCATCTTATAGCATGGTGTTTGTCTTTGTATACTTACTCTTTTTAGCTTTGAGTATTATCTTTTAATGACATAAGCTGCCCTGGGTCCTTTTTAAGGAGAAAGGTGAAGTTAAAAAGATGCCTTTTAAATAAATAAACAAATGTATCTTCTTGAATTCATTACAAATGCAACCCAATATTCATGAGCACTTGGGCATTGTTTTTAAAAAGACGCCTTTTAAATAAATACACAAATGTATCTTCTAGAATTCATTACAAATGCAATCCAATATTCATGAGCACTTGGGCATTGTTTTTAATTGGCATCACATCCTGGCCACCATTCCACAGTGCGGCTGCAGGCGGCATTCCTTCTAGAACCTCTGTTCCGTGACTATTACCTAATAGATATTCCAAATGGCCCCCAGAGAGGTGCGGTTCTGAAACACCAGAGGGGTGTCCATTGTGAATTAGAGCCTCACAACATTTTTGCGCACAACACAGACCCTGCTGTCCACCAGAACCAAGCTAAGGGTCCCTGGACTGCTGTCTGCTGAGCCAGCCAGAAAGCTCTCGGTCTTCCATTTCAGTTGTGTGAAAGTCTCTGTCACAGCAGTTAAGATACCTCCACCAATTCTGGAGAGGTGGCACATGTACTGAATATCACAAAAATCAACACCATAACCTCTTTTCGCATCCCTCCAACCCACTTCCTATCTAAGTCATGCCAACCCACACCAATGTTCTCCCTCATTGCTTTGAAAGGTTTATTTTCTATTCCCAAACATTTTTTCATAAAGCTCCAAGTCTCTGAGGGTCAATGATGGCTTTACAGTTTCCAGCGATTTTTCAAAATGTCTGCGTTTCACGGGGGTTGCTTCAACCTTATTCTCCTGCAGGGCCAACAGAGCAGCCTAAGAAATGGAGGAAATATACCAATAATGTAATTTTACAATGTCATCTCCTTCCCTTCGTCTTTCTCCCATGCGAACACAGACATTAACCCACACTTTTCTCTTTTGATGTCATCTTTTAAGTTTGTTAGTTCAAACAATGCATCCCTGGTTTTTACCAGATATTAAATTGCATTGAAATTTCATGCGAATTATCCAGCTGAATTTGAAATAGCTCACATATTATTGACATTTGGTTATCCCCAGTTCTAGGCTTAATCTCATCCTGACACATATACATTTCATTGCAAATTGATATATTGTTTTTTTCCCCATCTCCAATTGTAAAATCTTTCCCTTCCCTCCTTTATTCGTGTTACACATTTCAGAAAAATTCCATCCTGTTGATGTTAAATCTTCTCGGGACTTGATTAAAAATCTGAAGTCTTACCTCTTTACAGAGATTTTCAAGATCAGCTCCAGAGAAGAGTTCAGTCTGAGTTGCTACATCTTCTAGAGACACATCAGAATCTATTGGTATATTTTCTGTGCATATTTTCAAAATAGAAAGCCTTCCCTATTACAGGATGGAAAAAAGAGAAAGCCTTGGTCATCTGTGTGCCTCTTGATGGGCCTGAGGCTACAGCCTTGCAATAAGCCATCATCTGAAGTGAGTTTGTTTTTAAACTAACCAGAGTTTATTATAAACCAAAATGTCTGGTTTGTAGCCACCTACAGTGGTCATATAGACTAGATGGGCGGGATATAAATCAAATAAATAAATAAATAATAGACAATGACAAACAGAATATTCTTGACATCATGTGGAAGGATGAGAAAAAAAACATGATTCCAAATTTGGCTCAAAGTTGTTCCATATCATGTACGGTTAAGTGGTACATTCATATATCATCACTAACTACAGATGTGAAGCCTACACGATTCCAAATTTTGCTCAAAGTTGTTCCATATCATGTACACAAACTATGGTTAAGTGGTACATTCACATATCATCACTAACTACAGATGTGAAGCCTGATCAGAGTTTGGAAAACCAGTCTAAATTAAGATTTGCGATTACCTCTGAGCCTAGGCCATTTAGCAAACAATCATTTGGAAAGGGCTTCAAAATCAGGACCTCAGCCCATGGTTTAAAAAGACCAGTTTGTCATAACTGTGAATTGGCAAGCCATCAACACAATTGTGGGAGATGGTCTTCTTCCGAACACCCCTGCACCTCTAAGATGGGAACCTAAGAAGCTGAGCAGACGGAAGCTGAAAGCAGTTAGGCAGTTCTAAACCATGGTTTAGCGTGCTGTGGAGCTGGACATTCAAACCATGGTTGGGTATTAGCAATAATTATTACAAACCACGATGTGCTACAATTTCAAACTTGAGTCTCTTGATTGCAATAAAGATTTTACTACTAAAAAAAAACACCACCACCCCAAAACACTTGGAAGTATCCCTTTCTTTGGTTTAATCTTCACCTATGGGAATATGCCATACCTTCTGATCAGGGGGTGGAACATAGAGGATCTGGTCTAACCGCCCAGGTCGCATCAAAGCATCATCCAACATATCTGGTCTATTTGTGGCAGCCACGACCATCACATCTTTGTTAAAAACCTCCTGAAGTTCTAACTAGGGATGTTGACAGAAATGAAACCATTAAATGAAGCACATGTGCATTCAGTTTCTAGCAGAATGGGGTGTTTTCACCCCAAAGCAACCTTCTCACACTCTGGGGCGCTACTTCCTTGCCTCTCCTCAGTCCCCCCCCCCGGGGGCTTTTTTCCTCCAAACCATCATGACTTTCCCGCTTGTTCAACGAATCCTTAGAATCCCATTGACACCGTTTTCAGAAGCGCTCTGAATCTTTCTGTAAAGCTTGCACTTTATAGGTGGCGAACCTTCCCTCCAAAACAGGTTCAGCCCTGTGGAAAGTGCCTGCAAAGAGCCGTTTGAAACCTATAGTGGATTCACAGCACACACACACACACCCAACTGGCATAACCTTGGCCACCACTGTTTAAAAAGTCTTCAGTATTGAGAGGGGAAAACAAACCCCATCGTCCTGCAATCTGTCAATGGAGGAGAATCAGCAAGGCCATGGGCCCCATCAAAGACTGAGGCAGACAAACCAGGGAGTGAACAGCTGGTTAACTACAAAGGCAAGCGCCTGAAAATAAGTCTTCCCACCTCTTTTCTATTCTCCATCTCTTCGGGATGGTCATCTTTCAACTTCGCTCCGTTTCCTCTTCTCTCCGTTAACTTCAACCCAATGCCGTCTAATTCGTTGAGAAGAACAGAGAGCACTCTCTCCTGGACCCCGTGCCCAGTTTTCCCGATTGAACGAGACCCCAGGATGGCATCAATTTCATCCAAGAATACTATAGCCGGCGTATTCGCTCTTGCCTGCCTAAATACCTGGAAGAGGTTGGGGAGGGGGGAGGGGAAACAGGTGGAAAAATAGACAAGGGGAGTGAAATATTCAGGCAGAGCGCAAATGAATTCAGTTAACGAATTCCTCACGTACATCTTCTCCTGCATTTTTAATGAATAATTTTGAAACGAAACTAAATCCTGCACTTCCTGAATCTGTATTTCATGCCTATTATTTTTATTTATATTCAAAAACACCAGGCACAGTCAATCAAAACTATAAAAGCATTGGCTGGTATTATATAAGAGATACACGTTTTAACTAAAAAACCTAAGTATCTGCTAAACATCGGTGCATTATGTATGCTGTTCCTAATATAGCCATTTTTGGTGTTATTTCTGGAATCTGCCAGTGCTTATAATACGGTGTGCAACTTATTGATACTGTTCCCAAAGCCCCAATGACAATAACGATGAATATGATGACTTATAGGCTGCCTTTCTCCTGACAAGGTGACTCACAATATTGAAAGATTAAAACTAAAAACAAATAAGTTAAATATTAAAAAAAAACAATTAAACTAAGCACTAATTAACATACAACTGAATAATGAAAGCAGATAAACATTAACAACTATCTTAACTAAACAAATGACATTCGGGAACGAAATCATGGGCCACTCTCAAAGCCACACAGAGAATCTTGCCCACGCTTCATTATAACGCTTGAGCATCAACTCACATACATTTATTATGGCTTGTTAGGATAAAGCCAGAGCCATCACTTGTATAAATGAAATGGTAAGCCTGATTCTACAGATGTAGGCTATACTTGCATTTTAAAATGCAAGGAATTCTTGTCAACATGCAGCTTATTTTCTCCTACTTTGTACTGGCAGGTGAAGCCAGTGAAAAAACGTATAGCATATCATGATGTCTCAACAGGGATCCTGGTTTGTGACCTCTAAACTACTGGGATTTCAGAGTTGCTTGTTTGTAATCGCATATCCAAACACTGATTGTTCAAAGGAAGCCAGGAATCCTGGCTTATTATTTATGGGCCTATGTGGTATGTTGGCTTAGATGTAATTGCAAAGATTTCACGAAGGTGAGCATACGAGACCCGAAATGAATCTCATGCCTACCCATTCTATGTTCCCACATTTCACACCAGGATTGAAAACTTCTGGATCTTGATGCTCTGAGGCTAGTTATTCCCTACATCCTAAGCAAGAAATCGGGGTTTAACCTTAGACTTGATATAAAACCACAGTTTCGTTTGCTGGGCTGAGCCAGGCCAACCCAGACAGTGTTCTCCACCCCCACCCCCCAACGATTATAAAGATGAAAACCAAACCTGGGATAAGATTCTCTCCGAATCCCCAACGTAAGGCGAAAAGAGGTCTGCCCCACTCACAGAGAGGAACGAACAGTGGCAACTGGTGGCGGCTGCTTTCACGAGGGTGGTTTTGGCGCAACCCGATGGGCCGTACAGAAGGATACCCTTTGGGCGGGCCAGCCCCATCCTCACAAAAGCCTCTGGAAATTTTATGGGCCATTCGACGCTCTGCAAATACATTTTTAAGAAAAAGACATTTGAATCAATTCTTCATGGAACTGAATCATATATTATGATAACGAATACTGTGCTATTGAGTGTTGTTGTTATGAGTTGTCAAGTCAGTTATGATTTAAGTCCAGGTCTTCTTCATGGATTGCTGCCTTGTCGTGGCGAAGGGGCTTGAGTAACTCAGAGAAGCTATGGGCTATGCCGTGCAGGGACACCCAAGACGGACAGGACATAGTGGAGAGTTCCGACTAAACGCAATCCACCTGGAGTAGGAAATGGCAAGCCACTCCAGTATCTTTGCCAAGAACGCCCCATGATCAGACAGAAGGGCCTGGCGTGCTCTGGTCCATGGGGTCACGAAGAGTCGGACACGACTAAACGACTAAACACACTTCTGACTCCTAGCTCAACGCTCCACTACACCACCCTGTGGTCTATAAGTACCACCCGGAACTATAAGGCTAACGTCTTGAAAACTATAGGCCCATGGTATACAGTATTTGACAGTATAGCCTCTGCCAGGAAGACCTCTCTCTCTCTCTGCTGGGGGAAATAATACAGGGCCAAGTACAGAGTCTTGTGGCTGTTTCACTTTCATGTTTGAACAAACCCACATTACACGAGTTTGATAAACTGTGGTTTGTTGAAACTTACATGAAACAAACCAGGATCAAACTGTTTTTTATTTCAGTCCGTTTCACTTTCATGTTTGAACAAACCCACATTACACGAGCTTGATAAACTGTGGTTGAAACTTACACGAAACAACCCAGGATCAAACTGTTTTTTATTTCAGTCCAACTTGCTTTCAGTTTAACCCATCCTTTTCTAGAATGCTCCCAGTCTACCCTGTCGGCCTCCATGCAGAATGGGAGACTGGGCCAGGTATCCTGGAGCCCAGTGAGAAACTGGCAAAATTAGCCGACTCTCTTGGATGCCCAGTCTACTTTACTGATGTCAAATCTACCACCATTGGGCATTATTAACGAATTAGTGCTAAACAAGGCAACACGAGCAAGGTGTCACTGTTACAGAAAATAATAACAACACCATTTAAGGCCACTGTTTCTCAGCAGTTTCTCACTGTATTTCGGCACTGCAATTCTACCTGCTTCAGCTTTAATTTCACGTCTTCCAGGCCACCAATCTGCTCCCAAGCGACCGGCCTGAAGTCCATCAGCCCAATTCCACTTCTAAAAGAGGATGGTTGGATCTTTTTCAAAGCTCCGTTGAAGTCCGACATAGAAACTGTAGGAGTTGAATCCTGCAAGGGGAGGGGGGGGAACCATACACACGTCAGACGAGTCAGGTTTGCTTGTCATTGCTAACATTTTGGAGCCCCAAACACAGGGGCCACTACAGAGGCAATGCAGGATAAATTCAGAGCAGAGCAACCTTGGTGGAATGCAATCCGCTGAGAGGCTCGACGGAGCCGGTGCCTGAACAGATGCTTACCCTGCAGCCACGTAGCATAGCCTGCATCGCAGCCTCTCGGCACAAAGCCATCAGGTCCGCTCCGACATAGCCGGTGGTCACTTCGGCCAGTTCCATCAAACTGACGTCCTTCGAGACAGGCATGCCTGCGGTGAGTAGCTGCAGGATGGGCCACCTCTGCTGAAGAGTTGGCGTCCCAATGATAATCTACAACAAAAAGTCAAAAGGAAGGGAAGAGGAGGCCAGCTTCCTCCCAACGTACCAGGGAGTTCCGGGTAGGGCTGGGAAAGAATTCTGCTTAAAGCTGTAATTGTGGGTCAGTACTCCTGGAAAAGCATTTCATGGCGGGTGAGAGTAAGACCGAGAGCCAGAATCTTGCCTCTGGCATGGCAACCGAGGACTAAGAAGACCTGGATTCAAATTTCTGCTTGGCCAAGGAAATACACTCACAGGTGGCAACAGTTTTACCCGTGCCATTCCCCAGAGAGTTTATACAGCATAGCCGGGATTTGAACCCACATCTCCTGAGTCCTAGTCCACAACACCACCCTGGCCACTAACACATGCAGTTATCATTTCCTATCAGATACAATATAGTTTCTCTGCACAGGGTCAGAAGACAGGACTACCTGTTTTGTACATTTCCATCTGCGTTGTCATAATTGGTAGTTCCTTCTAACTTTGGGGGGGGCTCTAATTGGGTTATCAGGGTATGGGAGATGTTCAAGGACTGGTTTTACCAGGGCTACACACACCCCCAGTGGGCTTCCAAGACTAAGGTGGGATTTGAACCCAGGTCTCCCTGAGTCTGACTCTCCTTTGGCAGTCCACCCATGCACAGATAACTACTCTGCACGAGAGAATAATAATCACCTCACGGTCAATCCGGCCGGGCCGCCTCAGAGCAGGATCGAGCGCATCGGGCCTGTTGGTGGCCGCAACAATCACCATGTGGTTTTCCCCGCCAATGCCATCGATGAGGGTGAGCAGCTGAGCCACCAAGCGGTTTTCCGGGGCGTTCTGCGAACGTCCCCGTTTCGGACACAACGAGTCGATCTCATCGATAAAAAGAACAGTCGGCCCGTCGCTGGATAGTTCTCGCGCTTCCTCAAAGACCCGTCGCAGGTTCTCTTCGCTTTCGCCGGGTCTTGAACCGTAGACGGCGGGGCCGTTGATGCAAAGCAGGCAGGCCCCCACTTCCTGGGCAACAGCTCGGACTAGGAGGGTCTTGCCCACCCCCGGAGGTCCACAGAGAAGAACCCCTCGGGGGACAGAAAGGGAGAGCTTCTGGAAGGTTTTCGGGAAGCGTAACGGCAACTCAACCATGTCTTTTAAGGACCGACGGACATTGTCCATTCCCGCCACCTGGATTTTGGCCCCGTTTCCCATCAAACGGTTGTGCCAGTCCAGCGTGACCACCTCCTTGATGGCGACGCTCGTTTTGGAGGTCACTAAGCCAGCTTCTTCCACGGCATCGGGTTCCGTGGCCAATATTTCAACGCACACCACTGGATTGCCCAGGAGGGCGCTGAAAGTAACGACATGGTGAAGAGAAACGTAGGCGTTTCTTAGTAAGTCTCTCACCACTTCCTGTAGCACGGCTTCCGGAGTGGATCTTTTCACCGAGCGGTTTTGAAGGACCGCTTTGACGGCCACTCTTCGTAACCGGACGTACGGCAGGCGCTTCAAGCGATCCGCATTCACCGTGAGACCCTGCAGTTGGCTCTCCCTTAAGCCCGGTGTCCGGCATTTCAGGTCCAGCTGCAAGTAGCCATCCGCTGAGTCAGGCCGGGGCCAAGCGGTACAGAGGCACGACCCTGTCGGCAGGGCGATCCTGACCGGAGAACCCAGCGTGGCTCCTAGAGAAGCAAAAAGGGCCGGCCCCATCCTGCACCTTTGGGTGCCTTTATCCTTTGGCTCCTGGGGGAGCACCTTCAGCAACGCCATCGTTGGAGCCGAGTCACGTGGGTCCGTGTTTTCCACAACAGTGTGAAAGAAAGCAACAAGACATTGCTCTCTTTTCCCCCAAAAAAGGAGGTCACTGTGTTCATCGGCTGCAACGAAAAATCAGAACACTGAGAGTCTCCCTTACTTGGCAGAAGGTTTCGTGAACACAGCCTGCGTCATCTTCACTTCTGGGGCACAATATTCAAGCCACCGGTTTCTTCGCCCACGGGTTCTGTTCTGGGACAGAATGAAATGAGAGGCAAAAATTGACAATGGCATTATTAACATTGTAAGCTTGCAAAGGGATGGTTGCTTCGTGGGCCTGTGTAATGCCTTTATTGCTTTATACTGCCAATCAGGCTGTATGCAAGAGCATAGACGGGTCGTAAAATTAGTATTTGAAGCCTAATATAAATGCCTATAAGCAAGAATAAAAACAATGCAATAAAAGAATGAAATAAGCATTCGCAAAAAATAATAAGATGCATTACGGTAATAGTAAACGCATCATTTACACAAGAGACGTACCCTCCAAGCTTGCTAAAACAATGGTTACTGCTCATCAGTGTGCCCATTTCAGCTAAAGGGATCTGATTTGTCTCATCTCTGCAATGTGTTAGGCAGAGCTGGTTTTATTTAACAATGGCATCAGCAGGTTTGTGTAAAGCAGTGTAGCAGAGGGGAGAAATTTCAGCTGATGGAGGTACCCAAACATAAACAGTGGAATGGCAGCTTAAGAACGTTGATCCGATATTTTAGAATACTGTGTAGTCAAGGGAAAATAAGGACTTATCTGAAGCAGGGGATTATGGAAGGAACAGCCTTCTCCAAAGTGTTGTTATGTAAAGATGCTAGACTCAACAGCTGGATGATACTTCAATGGTCCAGAAAACATCTTGATCCAATTTTGCCCATGGAACCCAAGGCTGGGTTTCTTTCTTACGTAAGTTTCTTTCTTACGAGGAGACCCAAGGCTGAAGGAAGCTGGCTTTGGAAGGCATGCACAAACCCCCTGAGGGACCACGGTCGACATTTGTCAGTTTCACCTCTAAGTGTATCAGTTTATGGAAGAAAAGCCAAACTAAGCCAAACAAAAATGTATACTTCCATATAAACCAAAATGGCTAAAATGTATACTTGCATCTAAACCTAAATTGTATCCCACGTGTCTGAGGGAGTGCGTTGCAATGCACAAAAGTTCGACAATTTATCTCACTACTAAAATAGATCTGTTAAGGCATCACAGTACTTCATTTTTTAAAGTTTTTGTTTTCTTTTTATTATATCCCTAACAGTATTATCCATAACCTTTCTTTCTTTCTTTCTTTCTTTCTTTCTTTCTTTCTTTCTTTCTTTCTTTCTTTGTATTTATGGTACTACCTCAGCGGATTTCAAGCCCCGCTGCAATCTTTTTTTTTCTTTCAAAAATGCAATTCCGGACAGGTCTACTCAGAAGCAAATGGCATTGCCTACAATGCAGCTTACCCCAGGGGAAATGGATACAGGATTCCAGCTTTAAACAGAATGCACGCATCAGCCAGTGAGGTGGGAGGAAAAGGCACCCTTGCCTTCTTTCGCAGGCAGGAAAAGCAAAAGCCAGACCCCCCCCCAAAAAAAACCCAAAAACCCTGGTTTGACCAAAATGCAGCTTTTTTCTAGAGCGGTGCAATAATTGGTTAATAGGTTTGCCAATCAGAATGCTTTCATTGACCTGTTTTTCCTCTCATCCAATCCAATTTAGGGGGGGAGTCAAAAACTATCTTCTGTCCAATCCAAGAAGGGAGGTTGGGCTAAGGAAAGAGGAAGAAGCTTTTCATTGGCGGCTTAAGAGGGGAGGGACGTGAAAGGCTAGTGGGGCGGGGCGGGGTGGGGAGATTGGTGGCTCAGAAGGGGAGGGACGTGAAAGGCTAGCGGGTGGGGGCGGGGCTTCCTTGAATAGCAGCTAAGGGACCCACGTGTTGAAATCCAGGTTGTCCTCGTGGCTAGATTTGCTAGGAGTCCAGACACGCCATCGGAGGCAACAGGATTTACTTTCGAGTAAATAGGTTTAAGATTTTGTTGGACAAGTCTTGGGAATTTTGAGTTACAAATAGAAATATGCTCTATGGGCTATTTATTTATTATTTGTTTGAAACAAGTTCCCTAGGTATGATTTTCATGGTAATTCAGTAAAAAAAAAGAAGCGAGCAGCTAACTTTCTATCATGACAGCAAAACTGCTTACAAGTGTTTTAGAGTCGGGTTTGGCGGTGGAGAACGGCCGCGACCAGATTTATGTGTGAAAAGTCACAACAGGGAGGGCTCAAGAGCAGCTTCCTTGGGATGAAAAGTGCAATCATCTGCACGAGCATCTAAAATTCGCTTCGGGAAGGTGCGTTGCCGTGTGCTGTGCAATCTCAGTTCCACCAGGGTTGGGTGCAAATCAGGAACTTCAGTGCTCTAAAGACGTCTTTGAAAAGTGGGTTGATCCCAGGATGCTAAACAGCATGATTTAAGGATTAAGAAGGTGGCCGGTGAAGTTACTACAGTGGGTGAATAAAAGCCCAGAAATCATGACACTCACAAAATGCAGGAAACTAGAATTAACTACAAGGCGCCTCACTTAAAATGAAGCCGAGACCTGAAGATCTGTGTGGTTTCTGAGTCTACTCCAAACACTGCTTCACACCTCATGATCCTTGGGTTATGGAGAATTTAACCGGACCGGGTGGACCCTCCTTTCAGTTCTTTTTATTTTTCAGTCAGTCACCTCTTCAAAAGGAGGTTCATCCTCAAGCAGACCATGAAATGGAGGACTGCCTTCTCCAAAAGAGGACGCGTGGCCATCCTAGTGCCCAGGGAGAAAGGATTCGGGTTGGTAGTGGTAGCAAATCTGTAAAAGATCTCCACTGATTCTTTGGAGAGGGGTGATAACATGGCCAAGGTAGTTCAGGCTGAGGGTGTGTGTGTTTCCCGGAGCATCCGTGTTTGCGATGTCTCATTCTCACAGGCCAGGTTGAGGAATGGAACGTTATTTTCCTCTGTCTGTGAGGGGGGAATAAGGCCTTTTGGGCCACTTCCAGCAAGATGAGAGAAGAGGTACGAGATGGAAAGGATGAAGCCAATAAGGCTCAGACAGGTAGAACATTAACATGCCGTGCAGAATGACGGTGGGTGAGGCTTTCTTGCAGGCCTGGCTTTGTGGCTCCTGCACACGTGTGCTTTCCATGGTGGGTGAGGCTTGCAGGCCTGGTTTTGTGGCTCCTGCACACGTGTGCTTTCCATCTCAAAGAAACAGGGCATCAGTTTTGCACAGAAACTGTTTGGGCACATTGTGGGGATGGCAGGATGGTGGTGGCTGGAAATAGCGCTACTTGTCTTCCTTTTTCCTGGGCTCTTGGGACCTTCCAGGGGCTGAACATTTCTTAGCAAGCTGCATCGTTGAGTTGAGACAACTGAAATCTTTGAGGATTTAGCAGGGATCTGTGTGGATGTCTTTCTTTTTCAAACCCGCTAGATGGCAGCTGAAACTCAGGAATGATTGACTTTCGGGAGGAGAGGAAGTTTCTTCAAGGCCAAGTTCTGGTTGAAGAAATTTTTCGTTTTTGGAACATAGCATCTTCTTCTTGCTCTTTGCTCTAGTTTGTTTCTCACGAACGAACCGTTAAAGAGACATTGAATGCTTCCCTCATATTCAGGACTCGCCGCATTTTCAGACCTCTTCCGAAGGATTCTTTTTAGGGAAACGCTTGCACAGCAAGTCCTATACTTGCGTCGAGGCAGGACAGGCTGTTGAACTTGGTTTGTGTCAAGTGCACGCCCGGGATAGGAAAAAACAGAAGTGGAAAACAGAGGGATGAAAGAAGCAGAAAGAGAAAACACAGAAAAGGGCATAAAACAGGTGCGGGCAAGATCTGGAAATAGGCGACAAATCAAGGACTGGGCTGTTAACAAATCCACATGTTGCCCAGGTAAAGAGGGTGTCGAGCATCTTGCAGATGTGACCGGGCCCAGGATGCATTGCTTCATGCTTTAGGCAAGAGGCTAACAGGGTGATCCTGATTCATGAAGTTTCTGGCAGCAGGTAATATGGGTTAGACACTAGCAACTTGTGCTAAGATCTGCCGAAAACGAGTCATAGAAAGTGTTGGGCAAGTGAAGAACCGAATGGCACAAAGTTATGCCAGGGTCAGGGGAGTTGTGTCTCCTTTCCAACATCCCTGGGATTTGGCTTCAGCTGGTTTAGGGCCGCACCAGATGGGATACTGGATCTCTTAGGCAGAAACAGTGCTCCCTCCAGCGGCCAGTTATGATTCCGGTGGAACGATGGGCACAGGGCTGCCCACGTTATTCCAGATTTCCCAGTCTTTACCAGCTGAAGTGGCTGATTTGCTCCTGTCTATTGCAAGGCCCAGACTTGGTAAGAAAATACTGAGCCCGGGATGTTTAAAAAGAAATTGGATCGGTTTGGGGAGCAAATATTTTGGATGGCGGAAGGAATGAGGTCGATTGAGGCTTCTTGGTGAGCGGCTCTACTCTTTCCCTCTTTTGGCACTGCCAGCCTTCATTGTGTGGTGCTGTGGCTCTGTGCCAAGGTGGGAAAACCTATTCCCGTTGCGGAGTCGACGCTGTCCCTGCAGTTGCTAAAAAGGCATCAGGGCCTCGCCCGGAAAGAGGGTGGCAGCTTCCACAGTCCTTGTTTGTTTGCTTTTGTTTGCTTGCAATTCATTAGACCTGAGCGCCAAGCACATGGTTTCCATGAAGCACCACTGTAAAAACAGAGGGGGTGGTCCTATTTACTTAAGCTCCGAGAATGAGCCGGCATGGTTAGCATCATAATAATGAGGGCAATGTGAAAAAAAGAGAAAGACTGTAGGCAGGCTGGAGTATTTTATGGTTTCTCTCCGGTGCTGGGCTGGCAGCAAAGGGGAAAGTGGTGGTGGGGAAACTCGTGGGTTTTCCATGGTTGTAGAAAGTAACCTTTAATGCCTAGATTTTGGGAACCAGGATATTCGTGAGTGGAATATTCCATGCAATACTAAGATGAAAGAGAGGGAGAGAGGAATGGATGGAAGGAAGGAAGGAAGGAAGGATGGAAGGAAGGAAGGAAGGAAGGAAGGAAGGAAGGAAGGAAGGAAAGGGTAGGTAGGTCGATCGGTCCCTACAGGGTGACTCCATGCCAGGGGTCAGCAACCGGTAGCCATCCAGAGGTTGTTGGCCCAGGACTGCCAGCTTTCCTCACGATTGGCGACTGATGGGAACAGCAATAAGGAAGTCCGCCTGACTCCACCTGACTCTCTTTTCTGTGCTTTGCCCTGAACAGAAGGAGGGCTCGCAGGGGATCAGAAAAGGGACACAACTTTATTTGAGAAACAAAGCCTTAGAAGAGCCAGGGCTTGCCTCCGGAGGCTTCCTAAAAAATGGCAGTTCTGGTATTGAAAGGCCTTCTGGGGTCTCACATGAACACGATGGCCGTCTGCTGGCCCTTGTGAAAACCTAGGAATAGCAAAAGACCAGCTAACAAGGAATTTGAACTAAGGAGAGTGTAAATAGTCTCTCAGAAAACCTTCTGCTCTTCTTTACACACGCACACTCCTACCTCATTTTTATTGCACTCCATTAATTTCTTCCCATGAAACGACCTTTACATTAGTTTTATGAACCAATTCGTTTGTGCTGTGCGAGCTAAGGAACTGAAATGCAGAGTGATCTGGTGTTTAGGATACATCACCTTGGAAACACTGTTTGTCATATATATATATATATACTTGGCAGAAGACCTTTTTTTACAAAATAAAACCTAGGCAGTTTGCTGTTATCAGGTCAATATTTTTATATGTGCTTCAGAGAGAAATTTTTGAAACTGGATTTCCTCCGATCACCCTCGGCTGTCTGGAAGCAATCTATTTTAATGATGTTGCAAAACTCTCCATGGTTTTTATTGTTATTATTATTATTATCCCGGTTGGGAAGAAAAGGCATAAAATGCACCCCATAACACATCATTTCCCCCGTTAACATCACTGTCAACAAACTCCAAATTACTTTCCTTAGTCCATCATTCACATGGGCCGCTTTCTATCAGGGTTGTCCATTGATTAAAGACATTGTAGTTTTTTAATTATTGTCCTTTCAACTGACTGATTAAAAGGATCGCTCCCCCCTCCAACTTCATATTGGCAAACCTTAGTACAGTTGGATTGAAGGAAGTGTGAGACCGTTTTGCAATTTAATAAACACAAGCTGCTGCTCATTCTTAGAAAGAAAGATCATGTTTAATGTCTCTTTTTGTCTGTTTCTGATTACGGAGAAACACATCAGAATGTCACCCTGAGCTACTTGGAACGGCTGACCGAGGATGCTTGAGCCACTGCCTCGTTTGCACCATGCAAACTTTACATCCACCCTTTCTTGCCTTGCGGTAAAATCTGCGGTGGAACCACACACAGAGTCCCATTAAAACTCCTGGTCACTACCTCCTTCAGAAGGATGCTGTAGAACAAAAGACCTGATCATACAGCAATCTTTTCTGCTAAGAACTGTATGCCTGTAATACTGGTGGGGGAAAGATAGCTAGAGCCACCTGGAGATTTCCTTTCTTCTCTAGGTCTTCCACCAC